TGTCTAGAACAATAATAAAGTAGTCTTTAAAACGTAAGTCTAACAATTTGAACATTCTATAGGCATTTATAGTTATTGACTTATCTCCTTGCAGCCAGCAGCCTGATTAGCACAAGAAAAAAAATCTGCCTCTGCCTCCCAGCAATTTGCCTCTGCAGAAAACAGCAAGTTTCACTTTCAATTTCAGCATGGGCCTCCCAATCATCAGCTGTTTCAGGCTGCAGGGATTGCCATAGCCTCCACAAGCCCAGGTTGCTGCAAGGAGGTAAATTGCTGCGAGGCAGAGGCCAAAGGGTGGGGGGCGGCGAGTGGGTGGGGCTACATTCAGTGTATAAGAAGCACCCAAATTTTCACCCTCTTTTACGGGGGGGAAAAGACGCGTCTTATACTCTGAAAAATATGGTAATTGTATTTTTATCCTGGGTTAGAAAAAAGTAGAGGCCATTAAACCATTTATTTGTATGTTTGTCTCCCTCCTTTGTTATTTTTACAAAAAACTCAAGGCAGCGAACATATACCTTCCTTCACCTATTTTCCTAATGATGGGGGAGGAGAGAGAGAACACCTGGTGCTAAAATGTATGTTGCTAAGCAAGGCAGTTGTTAAGTGAATCACACCTGAATGGCTATAGGCAAAAAGATTTTTCCCACCCATCACTTTAGATTTGTTTAATTTGTCCGTGCCAAGATTGGATTTGGCTGTCCTTGGGTGTAGAAGCATGTTTTCTCTAGGCTTCTCTTTGGCTTCTGCAGTAGAAATAGCATTATAAGAAGGAAATTTTGTGGGAGTGGAGGTGTGCATGGATCAAGATGGTTGAGAATCCTTTACACGTCTAAGGGCGGTTTTTCTTTGCTGCTTTAAAGCTGCTTAGGCAGTATGTATAGATTTTTCATGTGTTATCTATATTGCAGGTATAAAAAAAGATTCCACATGTTTGATAAAGAAGGCAAAGGTTTTATTACTATATTGGATGTGCAGAGTGTGCTACAGGTAACATTTTACTTCATTATTATTATTTTTAATTCATCAGAATTTCCTGGCATGATATTAATAGTGTGTTGTTAATCCAGCCATGTGAGTTTTTTCTCCTTTTCATATATTTTATAGAGCATCAACCTTCAAATTAATGAAAGTGCACTCCATGAGATTTTGAATGAAGTGGATTTGAACAAAAATGGGCAGGTTGAACTCAACGAGTTTTTGCAAGTGAGTACTTTTAATTTATACATGTATATCTATATCAATCTAATATAATGGTATAAAAAAACCCTCGCAATACTCATAGTGTTCAGTTCATTAATATTAGAAGGGAAAATGTACAGGCATGCATTTCTGACAGGTATTATTCAAAAATGGAAACCACATCTTAGTTGCTGCAAAATGGAAAATATTTCTTTGATTCAGTTAGAGCAAGGGTGTCAAACTCGTGGCCCGCAGGCCAGATGTGTCACATGCTGGCCATGCCCAAAACAGAGTGCAGGGGACTGTGTGAGCCTCCCTCCGTCCCGTTTTCAGCCTGAACTGCCTCCTGCAGCACTTTATCGGGCAAAACGAGGCATGGGGGTGGGGGCTCGTTTTCACCCTCCATGGCCTCCTGCAACACTGCCAGTCAGAAATGGGCTGTGGGGAGGTGGGGGAGATGCACGTGGTCCATTTTAGCCAGCAGAGGCACCATGGGCCAGTCCTTTGATATTCCCAGGCTAGTACTGTGAGCCATATTTAAGCGCCACGCGTACCTTTAGTTTGACACCCCTGCACTAGAACATAATACATATCAAATGTATCCATATTAAATAACATAGACCTTTCATGCTACATTCCCTATTAGTTCTGTTAACTTGCATGTATACTAGTTATGAAGTTATTAGGACAGATAGGAGAGAGGTTCCTATATTTAATCTGAGTTGATTGTATGGGGCGAGGCCTCTGCAGTATCTGCACAGTATTATTATAAAAGTGTGAAAGAAGAAGAAGGAGAAATGCCTCAAATACCAAAATAAAAGTAGTAAAATGATTTTAGGTCACCATCTGGAAGACGTAAAGATGCTTGACTTTTATTATCTTGTCAGACTTTAATAAAAGTTGACCTTGGCCTTGTATTTTGAATCTTTGAAAGATTCCTATAGCAATAACTATCCAATCAGAGGAAAGTATAGAATCAGTTGCCCCTGAACTCACTTGTGGCTATTATTCATAGTGCTGCTACTCAGGATAGGAACTTTTAATGGTTACACCCAGATTGGGTAACTTTTCTTTAGTATGGTTGTAGCTAGTGCTAGTATTTATTTTATTGATTGATTAGCCCTTGTGCCATATCAAAGTGCAGAGATCCAGAAACAAATTATTACCAAAATTTGATAAAAGGAATTTAAAATGGAATTGGAGTAAAGTACAGTCTAAAATGAAATTGGAATAAAATACAATAATTTAAGATGTAGATAAAATATGATAAAATTATATTTTGGTGTCATCCCTACAATCTACCCCAATCAGTCCCTGATACTCAGATCTCAACTGAACCATTTTATTTAAGTACTGTGCTGTGTTAAACGTTATTTTCAAATTCTGGCCGCACATAAGGTAAGTTGTTTTGATAAGGGATCCTAATGGGTCATTCGTTTGGTATATAGACCAAGGTACCTGTCTCTAACCCTCTTATACAGGCAACAATCAAATAGGATGTAAGCCAGGTCTTCTACCTCTGCCACTTCACAAATGCAGAGATGTCCATTGTAGGATATAGAATGGAATGGAATGAATGAATGAATGAATGAATGAATGAATGAATGAATGAATGAATGAATGAATGAATGAATGAATAAATAAATACATAAATAAATAAATAAATACATAAATAAATAAAAGGGCTGGTATGGCATTGGGTAAAACATTGCATTTTTTGCTTTCTGAATATATTAATCCACATTTTAAATTTTGAATTGCTCCAGCAATTTCTGCCTTTTAAAAAAAACAACCAATTTTCACCTTCCTTCGCTCAACCAGGTTTTTTTGTCAGTGTTGTTCTTCACTCCTATTTTTAAATTTATCACCTGTTAAAATGGGTTATAAAACAATAAGCCTGCATTAAAAAGTAGCAGTTTAAAAAAAACCTGTAAAAGCAAGAAAAGAGGCACGGCAGCATAAATTCACCTCTAAGTTCTAGGAATAGAAACAAGTCTCCAGATGGTGCCAAAAACTTGGCAAAGCTTGTTGTAACCGTACAATTGGATAATTCTCCAAACAAGATGTATATAAATAATTATCTCTATATTGAAGTTCTGTCCTGAATTGGAGTGATACCCACAAGTGGGATCATCAGAAATAGGAACAATAATTTACATTTTCTTCAGAGAAACCTTTAGGTCATCATTTTACTGAGAAGTTTTTAAAAATAAGTTTGTAAACCACTACAATGCAAGTTGGAGGGAAATTTAGCCTGCTAAAGCCAACAATGTCCTTTGTTGAAGAGGCACATTTTCTAAATGCGGACAAGCGTCTCTCAACCTATTTGGCGGAATCTATTCTGTTTATTTTCCTGTGTTATAAAAATAACGGTTTTGCACCAATGAGGGGCAGGAAATTCTTCTATAAATTGCACTCTTGTTACTGTTTGGTTTAGCTCAAGTCTTTGCCATGCACTGTATTCTCTCTAAGCGCAGCTATTTAAATTGCTGTGTATCTCTCCTTAATCTCTAATGATATATGTAATTTGGAATACTGCATCCCGTTTTGGTTATCATGGCATAAAAAAGATGTTGACACTCTAGAAAGAGTGCAGAGAAGAGCAACAAAGATGATTAGGAGACTATAGAGTAAAACATATAAAGAACAGTTGCTGGAATTGGGTATGCTTAGTTTAATGAAAAGAAAGACTGGGAGTGACAAGATAGGGGCTACTACAAAAAAGAGGGAGTCAAGCTATTCAAAGCACCTGAGGGTAGAATAAGAAGCAATGGGTGGAAATTAAGCAAGGAAAGAAGCAACCTCGAATTAAGGAGAACTTTCCTAACAGAACAATTAATCAATGGAACGACTTGCCTCCAGGAGTTTTGGGTGCCCCAACAATAAAGATTTTTAAGAAGAGGTTGGACAACTATTTGTCTGAAATGGTGTAAGGTTTGTGTCAGTCAGAGATGGCGAGACACCAAAACAGAAATGGTAAAACACCATCAACAAAGGCATGCAAGCCGCAGGCCTGTGCCCCAGAGATGCAGCTTACCGTGCAAAGTGGCATTCAATGATCCGAAAAGCAGACCATGCATTTGCAGGAACACACTAGGAACAAGTAGTAGTAGTATAGGGTTTGCTGCTTGAGCAGGGAGTTGGACTGGAAGACCTCCAATGTCCTTTCGAATTCTGATATTCTGTTATTACAGTAAGTGATAATGATTATTCAACTGCTCTAAAAAAGGTTCAGAAAACAGGCTGCTCTTTTCTTTCTTTCTTTCTTTCTTTCTTTCTTTCTTTCTTTCTTTCTTTCTTTCTTTCTTTCTTTCTTTCTTTCTTTCTTTCTTTCTTTCTTGTGAACTTACATGCTAATACACCTTTTCATAAAGAAGAAGAAGAAAGAACAGCATTATTTTCACTATCGAGGGCATATATCTCATCCATGCACAGCAGAATAAAAACAACTAAGTTCCTCTAATGTTGAACTCTACCACTTTCTTGTTTTAACTCAGCTACTTCTTGCCAACGAACAAAAAAAACGTGATCACATTCTTTACGATAGTAGAATTCGAAAGTGTAAATGATGTATGTAAGTGTGACTGTTGAGTTTTAAAGTATTTTTTTTTAAATCAAGAATTGAAATTTTGGTTCTCATTGAAAGAGCAACTTTGCAATCTGAGAGTGTTCCTTGATCTTCATCCATTGGATTTGTTGCTAGCAAATTGCCTTTGACATCTTTACACAGTGATGTCGAGGATCCTTTCCCTGGTGATTTGGTGACTATTATCTATACCTTAATTCCCTCTCATCGGTACTAGAATATGCCCTACATAGGACTATACCTGAAAAATGTAGGAAAGCTACAATTGGTGAAAGATTTTATTTGTTTACGTCTCAAACTAATATGGCCACCCATTTCAAAAAAAGCAAGTCTTGGTAACAAGGTGTACAATGCAGCAACTAAGCTATTACGGTACAGCCATAATGTTATGCCTGCATTGAAAGATCTGCACCAGCTTCCAGTTGCTTATCGGTCACAATGTGAGATGCTTGGATTGACTTCTACAACCCTGAACAGATTGGAGATTGACTGTGTGAATGAAGGACCACGTCTTTCGTTATAAATCCATCCATTTGCTAAGATCTTCGTTGGCTGAAGTAGATTTCTTAAGCCACATTGGAGGCAAAAATACAACCAATTGTAATCATAGTGATCCCAGTTCTAGATGTGGCAGTCTGTGGTTGTCAAATACCAGGAAATGGAGGAGAAGATCGACAAATGAACAGACAGGAAGTCAGTGATCAGGGCAGGGAAGAAAGAGGTATTCAGCAAATGCTTGCAGTCCATTTTTATTGCTAAACCATCCTGCTTTGGTGATGACATTGGAATTGAGCTATTCGGCATCACTTGTCCTGTAAACTGTTCCATTATTCTGTGAATCATAGGGGATAATTTAGTGTGAAGTAGAACAAAAGAGCACGTGCCTGTTTCCCCTCCCCCTTAAAAAAAACCTCCCATGTGGCATGATACACATTTGAAGGCTGTAGAGAGACTTGGAGAATGTTTCCAAGTGTCCCTTTGACTCCTTTTATGCAAGCAGCTGCTTATTTGTTTTCAGTTGTTCGCCAGGTTTATTTTTGCAGAGCCTTTCTTGGTCAGGTTTTTCAATTGACTGCCAGGTCCTTCCTGCGCTGTGGCAATGATGAATGCAGAACATGAGATAAATTAATGCTGGGGATTTCAGTCCATGTCAGCCCTTTCTTCACTGCATGTCACGTTAAACAAACAAGATCAAGGCAAAGGAAAACGGTAATTGTCTCTCTCAAGATGGGCTGCAGATAAAAGCACTGTTGAATCTAAATGCAGAAATGTGTGTGTGTGTGAAAGAGAGAGAGAGAGAAGAAAGAAAGAAAAAAAGCACTCTGAACATTTTTAGATCACTTGAAAAATCTGTTGTATGATTTAAATCATACCAATTTCATGTATATATACATATACATACATACATACACATACATACATACATACATACATTGATACATATCCCTCACCTAATTGTATGTTTATTTCTTATTTATTTGCAAGGCTCCCAAAGTATAGAATTTACTTTTAAATATTTTTAAGAGCAGTAGTCTCACTTCATGGCCACGTTTCAACCTCCAGGCTTGCTCTCCAATCTGTTAGCTTTCTTCTCAAATTCCTTAGGGAGAGCACGATGCTGGAAAGATTGCCATATTTGTTTAAGAGGGAGCTTATTTGAATTGGCTGTAATGTAAGAGAGAGCCCTCCAAATACGTGGCCATTAACTTCTAGGATTCTCGGCAGAGGCCATGTTGGCTGGGAATTCTGGGAATTGGCCCATCCATCTGGAAGGGCCCCAGATAGGGGAAGGCTGGTGTAAGAAGTGAAAACTGTTTATCCTGCTGTCTTATTTCCATGGAACTGTCTTTCCTTAAAAAGATGTCCAAAGATGTATTTATGTTGCTGCTTCTGCTGTTGTAGTTGAAACCATTTTTATTCTGTTACTTCGGAGGGGGGGGGGCGGGAAATGTACATCAGAATGATTTACATATCAGTCCCTACCCTTTGATTTTACAAAGACGAAGTTAACAATCCAAAAGGAATACTGGATTTGAAATAAAAATAAACAGAGAGACTGAATCTATATTATAGGGTGGTTACTTTTTGTCGGGAGGGTACAAAAAAAATGACTCCTTTTGCTCCCATTTCTGGCAAACAGGTAGATGGACCAGCTGTATCTTGGTCTTTTCTTTGCAATCTTTTATGTGCAGGAAGTGAGGGAGTTTTCAAGTCATTGGGCCATGTATAATGTTGAAAAATTAAGGAAACTGGACCACTCAATATCAAGTTGGTAGAGATATGACAAATTATAAGGAAAAATGGCTTCTAAGCAGGGATATGGAGATAAAGGTATCATCTAATAATGCAGTGACACAGAGTATTGACCATAAAGCTTTATCTTGTCTCTTTAGCTCATGACTGCTATTCAGAAAGGATATGTATCTGGAAGCCGGCTCGCCGTACTTATGAAAGCAGCTGAAGAGAACATTTATCAACGGGAAGTGATTTCAGTGGACCGGAGTTGTGGTGGACTGTGATGTGGGGGGGCTCTTACAGCTTAGAAAAAGGTGTGCCCCCTTGGTTGCCTCTTTCAATGCTGAAAAACATTCCACTGCTTTCAGACGTCTCTGCTTCTCTTCACTCTGAGCAACTGTACCGAAAGTCACATTGTGCAGCTCTTCTTTTTATATTTGTGCGAAGAGTCTACTTGACTGGTGGTGAACTGGCTTTCTCTAGAATCCATGGCCAACAAGACCATGAAAAGGAGAAACTGTCCACCTCCCCACCTCCCCTCCCCCGGGGCTAATCCCCGGAGTTGAACACTCCAACCATGGCAAGGGATCCAGGTGATAGCCAGGCATGAATGTAGATTTCTTTTTTGCATTTATACAAAAGCAAGAGTAATTCCTCTCCTCCATTCTCTTTCTGCCTTTTGATGCATTAATCAGGCAAAAGTGGACAATGCCAGCATGCCTTTCATATCTTAAAAATGGACTTTTTTTGGTTAAACCTGCAGATATATTTTTCCCCTCCCCACCCTTTCATAGAAGTACATTGTGCTAAATATTCATCGCTTGCCTAGAACTTTGGTACAAACATTTTTTATAATGGCCACAGTCTATTAAAAAGCGCATGCCATAAAAATGAGTGATTTATCATGGAGGAGAGTGCTTGCATTTAGAATATTCATAGACTGTATCCCAAAATAGAAGTGTAATGTCCAACCAAGGAATTGCAGTGATACAATTGTATTTTAATAAGAGGCTATGTGGGGCCTAATTCTTCAAAAATGTCCTAAACCCAAAAAGCCAGCATAAAATAGAAAATAAACAAATCCAATGGTTCTTGTTACTTTACCACAGAAAGAAATTGCCACTCCTTCCCTGGTACCTCTTGTGTATATAAAAAAGAGAGAGCTAAATCCTGTATCATGTAGGTGGTTTGACTTGGCTCTGAAATTCTCAAAGAAATTTTAAGAAAAGGGTATCTAAAATCTGACTTTATTTTGATAGGTGCCCCATAACTCCTCAGAAAAATAGTGAAGAAAATACTAAACAAGATTACGCTACTTTTTTTTACTAGGAATTGCAGGTTCAATTTTAGGATATTTTCTTTTTTAAAAAAAACTAAAAACTTTTACATATTGTTTAAAATCATTTTAGGTAAAACCCCTAGTATTTAGGGTAGAAATCCTTCCAGAATACAATGATAAACTAATAGCAAAATCAGTAGAAAGTTTGCTTTTTGCTATTTGGAAAATGAAATTGCAGCAAAGTAACAAACCTAAAAGGAACAAAGTCACGTTACTGTGGAAATTTGTGTCTTTGTACCTCTGATGGCATTGTTCATTTGTTTGTTACAGATTTTAATAACACTTAATATTCCAATGGAATTTATAGATCAGTAAGAGCTGTGGTACCTGCAGACCCAAATTCTTTCATTTACTTATTTTAACATTTCAGTGCTGTGCATTTCTTCACTCTTGAGAGCAGTCTCTAGGAACTGGCCCTTCATAAGGCCTCAATATCAAAATGAATTTAAAATTCAGAATTACTCTATATTCAAAAAGTGAATATATTAAGGGCATCTATTGTTAGACGCAAACATTGCTATATAAAACAGTCCAGCCATTAGCATGAAGCACTCCTATTTTCTATTTAGAAATTTAGGCAGCATTGATGGGAAGGAACAAAGTCTTCATAAAGAATATTAAAAGGTAGTATTCTAAAAAACACCCTCTAGCAAAATTCTCTGCAGACCATTTCCCATGTAAGTTACTGCTATGATCAAGAAATGTCAGCCCTATGTTTTATAGGTTAAGAGTAGAGGTGGAAGCCAAAGCAAGATTCTCATCCACTCTAAGCCTGGAGCACTTCAGAATGACTTGGAATAGAGGTCTTAACTGGCCTGCGCTTGACAGTGGGAGATCTCTCTTTTAGCACAAAGAGTTGGGGTGTTTTTGTGGCGAATCTTTCTCTTCCTCCCCCATCTCTCATCGCCAACATATATTGGATGCTTTTTACATAGCACTTTTCAATTTGTTCCATTTTAGCTTAGGCCAAGAAATGCTAAGCCTTAACAAAAAACTATTATAGATAGCTTTTCTAAGATTGCAGAAGTGTGGAGAGGTCCAGAAAAGACGTTGAGGTGCCGATCGTTACACATTTAATTAATAATGGACGCAACATTTTTCTACATTTGAGGCAAAAGATTAATGACAGGTTATCAAGAGCTCCAAGTGCATCTCGTCCATATGAAACACCTTGTCCATTGGAAACATTAAGAGTTAAGCAAGCACCCAAAATGAAGTGAGCTGAGGATCATGGGGCTGATATATGCTGAGGATCTACCACAGTTCTTAGGGAAGAGTTTTAATGAGCATTTGAGTGTTCACCTTTACAGATAGACTTCTCTGATAACCAGAGGTTGGACTAATGTCTAATGATTGTCCTTAACCCAATAAAGGTCTCTTCACATGGCCTCTCATGTTTTGCTGTTGATGCCTTCACACCCTGATCAGGAAGCCATGATTTCTTTTATGCATTGATTTCACCTCTAGGAGATGTTTTAGCCAACACACCCCTCTGCTTCCCTTGGGCAGGGAAAGTATTATTCCCCTACATCATTTTACAGTGGCTCGAATTCAGTTAAAAGTAGACTCTCTACTTGGTTTCTTTGTAATGGGTTTTCTTTGTATATTTGGGAGAGAATATATATGAATGTATAGGAAGCACAAAGCTCCTTTTTGTATAACAGTAATTTAGTGTGATACTACTGTACAATTGTTTCGAAAACAAAGAAATATAGGAGTAGGCAGTTCTCTAGTGGTTGTGTGTGTGTATGAATAGGTAAGCACACATATCTATGCATATATGCATATGTATACATATACATATACCGCATGTTTTTCCATCTGGCACTTTTATGTATTGCGCTGGGTTATTGTTCAGGATTGGACTGTTAAATACTGTGTTTGAGGCTGGGTTGTCATTTTTATAACTGTCTTGGTGTTTTATTGCCATTATTTATTACTTTTGATATACAGAATGAGCTGCATGCATTTATAGAGCAATAAGAGGATGTATTTAATGTGCCTTGTTTTTAACTGAATAAGATCTGAAAGCATGAATCAATAAAACTGATTAAAATGGTCCACTCGTTGGCATTTTGATGTTAGTGGCAGTTACGGAAATAAAGTTGATTAGCTCGGAAACCCCACCCCCAGCTACCTTCCTTTTTCCTTGATTTTTTTTCTTTGCTTGTGATTAAAAAAAAAGTTTAAAACAATCTCTTAAACCTCAGTTTTTAAGAAATGATATGAATTCTTGACCTTAACTTTATATCTAGAAGGACAAATTAAAGAGAAGCCTGTCATGCAGTATTAATAATGGATATTGTCATTGTCATGTTTTGTTGCTGCTATAACATTCCATCCTCCTCCTCCTCTTCCTCCTCCTCCTCCTCCTCCTCCTCCTCCTCCTAAGCAAATGACGGATTGTCTCCTGGTTAGACTTTTTAATTTTTTAAATTTTTTTCATTTAACCACCTCTCCTCAGGTGCCACGTTCCCAGCCCACCCTGATGAATTTTATCATGATTAAAATCAATAGAAATAAATGGAAAAGATTACATAATCCATTTTGATCATCTTACATGTCAGGTTAGCCCAGAGTCGCCAAATCCTGACAAATGTTCTGACATGGAAAAAGGCCATGTATTTTCGGTGAAAGTAAATCAGCAAACCTGTTTATAAATTTTTAATGAAAATGTTATAATTGTCGCATTCTTTTATTGTTCCTAATTTACTCTTGGAGTAGGATTCTTTTTTTTTCTCTCTTAACACTTTGTAGCCATACTTGCATGAGCATGTAATTAAAAAATTCTTGCATCTGGGATACGTACTTGCATTGTCACAAGCAGACATAACCTTTATTGCATAATAAGTAGCATGACAGAAAAGCATCTTTCCATGTGTACCATTTTATCCAAAACTTCCAAAGCCCCACTGCCTTTCTTCTATTAAGTGCTATCTTTATTAAATGTGTATTAAATTTATTTTTAGTAAATTTGTTAATGCTTTTTTCCTCCTGGTATGACCTCTCAGTAGAAAGAGATTGCTGTTTTTCTATAGATTTAGAGCCGATGAAGAATTTAGGATAAAGTGAACCTATTGAACTGAATCTGTAATGGGGACCATCTGAGGAAGACTTTAGGTTTCACTCCTTGGAGGAAAGGGGTACACAAATGGTCCTGGAAATATCAAAGTAATGTTAATGTATCTGCACCAGTGTTTTCAATCCGCAGGACTTAGGGCCCTGCATAAAGAGGAATGAGAAGATTTAATAAACTAGCCATAGTTTGTGGGGATATGGTTGTGTGTGTGTGTGCATTCCATTTTCATTAAGTGTTAATTCCAACTCATATAACTAGTAGTTTAAAGCATTTAGTGGGTGCAGATGTACATCTCATCTCTGTTCATCAAGTTCTAGCATGCTAAATGCTTTTATGTGGCACATTTTCGTGACTACAGTGCTGATATTAAAATAAAAGAAATAGCTATGGATTTGTCAGTGTACCAGTATATTTGTCTGTATTTGCCCTTTTCTTACCTTCTGTTTCCTGCCATCCATCTTTAGAAGAGGCTACCCAGCTATGCTTCTTTCTTCTCCTCCAATTTGATTGTGTCTTAGTGTGATACCATAATTTAAATGATGCATATGTAATCAACATAATCCTTACATTTGGGACAGCCTTGAACTGGTCTAAATTGTAAACTGGCTCAGTGCACTTTTTAAAAACAAAACAAAACAAAAAAACAAGCACAGTTCTGTGGATTTCTTCTTCCTAGTTACCTCTGGGCATAAATGGAGGATTGTCCCCCACTAATCTGTTCTGGTGAATTTATTTTACTGAACCGCTGAGATGCTTTTAGTTTTGCATCTCCTCAATTAACTGATTTGCAATTCATTTTTATGCATGCTGAGTTTTTCCTGTCCGAGTCAAGCAGCTGTAAATCTCTGATCTATTGAACTGACAGGGAAATATATTTCATTTTTGCCCATGAATCATTCGCCACCCTTATTGCAGAAAAATGGCAAAATTATGGTGCACTGTGTTTTAATAAATTATTGTTTTTTTATTTTAATGTATACCATAATCTGCTTGGAGAAGAAAATCAAGTTGTTTAAAAACATCAAAATATGAAAATCTAGGTAAAGAGCCCCCCCCTTTCCCCCCCAAAAATATAGCTCAACAATGATATCTGGTTTATTTCAGCAATCTCTAACACTGTCAAGAGTTCATGTATTCCTGATTAAAATCCCAATTTCATTCTGTGGAGCTTTTATATTGTTTTATCTCTATATTATTAGACACACAAAAGGCAACTTTTTCTTGTATAAACGTAAAATGGTCTTGCCTATTTGCTATAATTGCTTTTCACATCTTTGTCATTTTCAGTGATGTCAAATTAGGTATAAGGACATTGATTCCTTAAAAGTTAAATTATAACCGCACATTGCTATTGCAGTTTTTGACACCCCCCCCAAAAAAAACCTAATCCAGTAACCCAAAATTAAAGATTCAGAGCTTTTTTAGAATACTAATTAGGAGTCAGGAAAAAAAAATCTAACAAAGTAGTTCATGTTGTGTA